CTCAGCTGCTGCCCGAACGTCTCCCCTGACCTCAGGGCCCGGGCGCTGGACGGGCTGGCGACGAGCCCTGCTCCGGAACGAGCCAAATGATTCGTTTCGCCTCCGCTCTGCCGTGCCGTGGGCTTTGCTCAGGGCTCCGGAGCCCGGTTGCTACGGGAACCATCGGTTCTCCTCCGCCTGCTCGGTTCCTCCTCTGCCGGGTTTCCCGTTGGGCCCGGTCCTGCCCTGCCGTCGCCCCGGGGTCCCGTCGCGCGCCGACGAGGGCGTGCCGGGCCCGTGTCCCCGCTCCGGGGGGGACTCCTGGGTGCTGCCGGGGAGAGCAGGGCCCTGCGCCAGGTGGCTGCCGTTGGGCTCCTGGGTGGGGCAGGTGGCATCCTCCCTGGGAGACCTCGCCCTGCCTGGACCCTGGCCCTTCTTCCAGCAGGAGGCAGCGTGAAGCCACGCCCTGCTCTTCTCGTGGGCCCCTCAGAGCCGTGGCGTTGAGCCCCTGCACTCCTCCTGCCGCGCTCCTGCCGCACTGACCCTGTTTTCCCATGTCCTGTGTCCCCAGGGACAGCCCGGCCGGGGACTGGCTTCCTCCACGCCGACGCTGAGCTGAGACGGTCCGCGGTAGTCACGCAGGCCAACATGAAGGTGGAGCTGCTTCCAGCCCTCACGGACAACTACATGTATCTCCTCATCGACGAGGAGACCCAGGAGGCCGCCATCGTCGACCCCGTGCAGCCCCAGAAGGTAGCGCGCCCGGGGCTCGGCCTGGGGAGAGCGGATCCGGGTTGGGTCAGGGCCGCCTGCGCGAGCCCCGCGTGGCAATGCAGGAGGTGGCTGGCCGTGAGCCTGGCTCTTGGTGAGGGGCCGAGGCCGTGGCTGCGGGTCGGTGTGGCGGCTGAGATCCGGGTGCTTCAGTTGCGTCCGTTGGGGGGTGACTAGGCTGGAGCACATGCCCAACGAGGAGAGGCCGAGGGATTTGGGCTTGTTCAGTCTGCAGAAGAGAAGAGTGAGGGGGGATTTGAGAGCAGCCTTCAACTTCCTGAAGGGGGGTTCCAGAGAGGCTGGCGAGAGGCTGTTCTCAGTGGGGGCAGAATGAGGAGCAATGGGCTCAAGTTGCAGTGGGGGAGGTCTAGGTTGGATATTAGGAAAAACTCTTCCCCTAGGCGGGGGGGGAAGCGCTGGGATGGTTCCCTAGGGAGGGGTGGAATCTCCATCCCTGGAGGTTTTTAAGTCCCGGCTTGACCAAGCCCTGGCTGGGATGATTGAGTTGGGGTTGGTCCTGCTTTGGGCAGGGGACTGGACTCAATTTCTCCTGAGGTCTCGTCCAGTCCTGACTCTTACTTTGCTGTACGCACAATAGGCGAGGTGCAGGATGGAGCCTTTCCTGGCTGCTTATGAAGTACAGTAAACTTCCGATAATCCGGCACCTTTAGGACCCAGGGGGTGCTGGATTATCAGATATGACAGACTATCGGAAGGGGGGACTAGGCAGGGGACTGGACTCAATTTCTCCTGAGGTCTCGTCCAGTCCTGACTCTTACTTTGCTGTACGCACAATAGGCGAGGTGCAGGATGGAGCCTTTCCTGGCTGCTTATGAAGTACAGTAAACTTCCGATAATCCGGCACCTTTAGGACCCAGGGGGTGCTGGATTATCAGATATGACAGACTATCGGAAGGGGGGACTATGAAGGGTCTGGACTGAGGTGGGGGGGATGCCACCCCAGAGCCCTCGTAGCCCCCCCTTCCGATAGT